TTTTTTTTTTTTTTTTTTTTTTTAAATTTGAAATGAAATGTTTTTAATTCGAATTGATTTTTCTTAGTTAAATTAACTTCTTTCTAAATTTTAAAAAAATTATTATTAGTATAGGTAATAGCATGATTTGTAGTGATATTTGGCATAAATACCACGAGTGATATTTCGAAATTGTTATACCTTATTTCACGAGCCGTTAGGCGAGTGAAATTTGAGACAATTTTGAAATATCACTCGTGGTATTTATGCCAAATATCGTACAAATCATGCTATTATTTGTTTATACTACTGCCCGCAAAAGGTTTGTAATTTTCACATGTAGGTATTTCAAATTAAGCTGAAATACCACTGCTCTAAGCCTATCAAATTGCAGTAATTTTTCATGTAGTAGTATAATTATTATTATTATTATTATTTTTATTATATTATAATTATTATTGAATGAGTTGTTATTTTTATGATTATGAAATGAGTTTTTTTTTAATTGAAATGAACAGGAGCTTATGAAATGAAATGACTTGTAAATAGGTTTAATAATTAGTTTTCTTATAAGAATTTATGGCAAATAAAGTACTTCTTTAGTAATAATAATAATAATAATAATAATAATAATAATGACTTTACTTCGTGTCAATGTATGTAGCTTAACAGTTAGCTAATTGGGGACACTTTCCTACGTACTGGCACACTTATCTATTAGACCTATTACAAGACTTTTAAATCGATGACCTTACCTAAAACTAAGTAAGGAAATGGAAATTAATGTACAAATTAATTTTTTAATTGAGCAGTGTGTAATAAATTGATTAAAAGGTCGAGCCATAGAAAAATGTCACCAATGTAACAGATTATTCTGAAGACACTTCTGATGCACGACTCAGTAACTTAAGACTGATACATTTAAAAATGTATTAACCAAAATATATAATTATTGTTCTCGAGGCTTAAGTTTTACATAATCATAGATCGATTTTATAATGCACCGGAATAATTGCAAATCGGAAATGTATTTCCGATGTAGTGAGAATTACTCACTGCTTATCTCGCCGTACTGAAGCGTTAAATAAGCTGAGCAATAAATGTTTACTGGATTCACGGATTCATTCTAATTTCTTTTCGTTGTATCGTTATATCATCCTTCTAACTTAAAAAGCCTAACTATGCGCGATCTCCTAGAATGGATGACTAACCGACTTAAACACTGATGTCTTAGTAACAAAGCTGAGAAGACAGCAAGACTCCTTGGACGAAAGGCTCGGCAAAATATGAAGCGAGGGCAAATCCTAACAGATAACGACCTTGGCTGATTTCAGAGAAAGCAACCAAGTTCGAACTTTGAATTCACCCCGGGGGGTACTCCTGGGAATTCTTAGTGGTGGTGTGCCACATGGTTCCTGAAATCCTGACCCGAATACAGACCAAAAACCGTAATTTTCCACACCCGTTTTCAGACTAGACCTCTAAAATCCATATCCGTTTTCAGACCTGGCCTTTAGGCAGAAATTATGTTATCATTACTTAGCCGTTAGAGCGCAAACAAAAAATTATTCTGAATCCATTTTGAATTCGCATTTTTCTCTTCCTTTCTTACTCATTTGGAATTGAAACGACAAATACGTTGATACATTCCATAGTTCCCTCGAAAACCATACCCGTTTTCAGACCAAAACGACGCAAAAACCCTAGCCGATGGGGCGGTACATACCTGTATGGCTTATATAAGGGAGTACTCCCCCCGGGGAATTCACCCTTAAAACATTGTGCGCAAACGATTCTTCTTCCAACCAACAGCCATCGAAACCCACACCGGCAAGCTGAGACTGTTGCTAATTTAAATTACCCAACACGTTTATGGCCTCACAGGTTAAGCCTCACACTGAGACAAAGTATGTGGGTTGAGATGACCAATGTGTAGATACAAGATACGTCTCTAGTCACTAAAGGACGTGAGAGATGTCTTCATTAAAACGTCTGGCTGTTATGGTGATGTTAAGTGCTTCTGGTCTGTACTACACGAATACCATTTTAAGACGGCAGCTTCGATCAGGCTCACGGTTCAGACGTTAAATTTTACTAAAACTTTTCTCTACTTTAGATACAGCCAATGGGTATGATAAGTAAGTAAGAACACTCTAAAAAAACATACACTAGCTTTTCACAAGCGCAAGGAAAACGTCTTTTTTGCTCGGTCCTGTTTGTCGTGATAACGGGGTATATTTTGGATTGGCATCGTCCTTTTAAAAGTAATTTCCAGGGCAAAAACGAAAGGAACAGAGGTCTGTGTGGGAACACTTTTTCCAATCGTACATGTGCATGCGCAAGGGATTTTTTAAATTTTGCTTAGTAATTGCCATTCCAAAGAGTGAAACGGTTCAAGTATTTATTTAGCACTATCAGCATATTCTCAGTCTCACAGGATGTCTTAAAGAAAACCCCCTGCTGGATGATGTTTAATCAACATAGAAGAGGGTATATAAATATTTAGGAATGTAAGTGCGCCTTCCCTACAGACATTAAATTTGTCAACTTGCTTCAATCATTTTTAAGGGTTTTATCTGGAACCTTTATCGTTAAAACAGCAAAATTGATATTAAATCAGAAAGATCACACTCTTAATTTTTCTTTAGATCTTTCTGGAGCTAACGGTGTTCCAATCTATTTATTTTGGTGGCAAGTTATTTATTGCATTGGTCTTTTGTACTTTTGTTTGAAGTCATTTGTGCTCTGTTGCCCTCAAAGACAGTCACTTTATTGCTTATTACTGATCCAAGACACTTACTTGAAGATGTATACCGAAAAGATATCAGTTTTCATGGGGAACTGATAGTGGCTTGGCTGCACAATCGATTACTTTGATAAGATTAGCCAGCGATGCAAGTATTGACCTGTGCTGATCATTAAACTGAGGTCGGCTTTTAACATTTTGTTTGTTGTGGTTAGTGACCGCAGAATTTCTCAGCTAGACCTAAACAATTATCACAATTGGACCTTTTTTCACCATCAACGCTTCAACATACCGCCGAAAACAACAAATAGACTTTCAAGTGCTGGCAGATCACGTTTATTTTCCTTACATGAAGTATAAGAAAAAGTACGCATTTTGCAAGGATAAAACTCTTTGATACATATCTTCAACGATTATACCCAAGACATCTACTTCTACTCTTTCGTGATTTCGGCAGGGACGCTTAGCAGTTCTCTCTCTCGATGAAAATTTGTGCAAAAAGGAAGACCAGAAGGAGGAAAAGGGTAAGACCTTGTTTCGCCTCTCTTCTTTCTCCTTCTCTTGGTCCCTTGCGCTTCGTCACCAGTCCCCCGCGTTTTTCGCTCGCGGGCTTTGTGGGAAAAACGAAGTGCCTGCGGAGGAGGCAAGTGATGTGACGTATACTGGGTCAGCAATGTCGGGGACACTTCGCATGTAATTGTTGCTGATGTTATTCTCTTCATGTTGTGAGCCTCAGTCATTGTCGTCACTGTCGATTAGTTGACCTTTCCTTTCCAAGAACTTAAGAGTCCAGGGAAAGAGTGTTTTAACACTCATCTACCTACCCCTCCCCTAACCCAACATTTCGCCTTAAGTGAGAAGTAATTGTCACTGCTGATTTAGGGGAGGGGTAGGTGGGCAGTTTCCCAGAAACCTAAATTGATCCCTTTTTTTGGTAAAACAGTAACGCACAAGGAGGTTAGCGTGGTGCCGCGGAACCCGGATGTCATTGGTTCAAGTCCGCCTCGATCTGACTACTACTCGAGCTAAACTTGTTTCTTTCTCGTCCGAATTTAACTCCTCGGTCATGCTTGCAAATAACTAACAGTTTGCTTGTATCATATCATGTTTGATTTGTGTATTTGTTGAAAATATTTTGGAGGGAGTGCCTGGTTGGGGAAGTTGGGTGTACTTGACTATAATCAAGGCATTTTCTTTCTTTTACTTTTTTAAAACATTCTTTAATATAGCGTTTTTTCATTGTGAGCAAATTTCATTTTTTATGTACATTAAATGTAGACTGTCTGTAAGTATTTCATTTCATTGTGGTTGGTAATTAAAATTTGTGTAACTTCGAATTCTCTTCAGGAACCTTTGTGCGCACTTTGAATTGAGTAAACTTGTTGTCAAACCGACAGGCCGAAAATGGGGTTAACTACCATAATTACTTGAAACTGGAGAAAACTATATACTCTGCGTATGAAAAGAGATATCGCATATTGACGCATCATGCTCAAAACATACATTAAACATAAAAGAAAGTTCCTTTCTCACGGAAAAATCTATTTTCGGTGTATTTTCCTTTTTCACTACACCGTATGCTGTCGGTATAGCATCGGCTTGAAAGATATACGCCACAATAACTTGAAACGAACGGAAATTGAAACTAAAACAACAGCTTCAAAAGGTGTAGATAAAGTGATAAATGCAATCCATGATGATTATCTGGCTTATCGCTGAATTGACGCATCTGGGTGTGACTAAATTTAAATTTAAACATAGTTCTATTTCTTTCCGTGCAGAATTGAATAACTTGTCGCCAGTGCCGGTCAGTATTCAAACTCAGCTGGGGGAAAATCTGAAAAAGGAACAGTGGTGATAAATTAGTTTGGCAATTTGAAGTGTTCTTGGCTCACATTATCGAAGACGCTGGGTTAGATAACATCGATGATATGTGCAAGTGGCGTGATAGCCCACGTTGCAGAAAAACGATATCGCCCGGGGGAGAAAGCTACTCCTCTCTTCAAAAATTTGGGTGGGGTAATGTTATTTTAATTCTAATCAGCTTTTCTATCTCATAAAAACCAACTCCCTTAAAGAGGATTACTTTGCTCTTCCTTTCATTTCTTCAAGATTGGTCATAAGTGAGTTTTGTTACATCCTCTGTTAATATAGGGTATTTTCACCAAGACAAGCTAGTGCTCTCTTTTCAGTATTACTGTTATTCCAGCCGAAAACCTGTATCACACCTATTATTGTGCCGCTTTACAACTCTCACACCATGCGACAGTAATATATTCACTTCTACCCCTAAGTGTATGATCATTAATTTAGGGTTCTTCTTTACCCCCTAAATCCCCTTCCAACCATCCCCCACCCCCCTGTGAGTGAGAGAAAGGCGGTCAAGAACGTACTTAACATGCTTTACACAGACTTTCGTTTACCCACTCAAGATCATAAGAGCCACTGACAGATGACCATCGTAAACTACATGAAAGTCTTATTGCCTTTTCCGTCCTTGTATACGTGACAATACTTCTGACTCAAAACAACTCTGTTAGTGAAGATAATTAAATGCAGGCGGGTTGGTAAAAAAAAAAAAAGGAAAAAGAAAACAACTTTAAGCCCACAAACAAGATCGCACATCCTTGGAATAAGGATGCTAGTCTGTAGAACAAGGGTGCTGTTGATATTAGAATTAAGAAAGAAAAACAGTAAACATTGAGACGCTCAATCGGACGTGTTTGTTGTGTTTGGATATAGGTCAGAAAATCCGGAAAAGTTCAAAAGACAATCAGAAAGAGGGTTAAGTGCTTTGTTATGACAATGGCAGAAACAATGCTAATTTTCTCTTCTAAAGGTCGTTCGTTCAATGTATACTTACCGTCTAAGTCGAGTAATTTCTCGATATCTATGCTCAACAAAGTGTCGAAATCTAAGAAGGGTTCGTTAATTTCCTCCTCGCTCTGCGCCTTGTCCAACATCTTGGTCAGTTCATCAATGTACTCTGCAGCTAACCAAATCACCTCTGTTTTTGTGGGTTTTTTTTCGTACGGCGAAAGAGGCAACATACTTTTTAAAACTTCAATTTCCTTGTTCAGCGACTGAACTCTCTTCCTCTCACGGGCGTTGGCCAGCCTTCGTTGCTTGCTAACTCCTGTTAAACGTGGGCCGCGACGTTTTCTCTTCTTTTTGTCCTCAGCGAAGATTGAGCCTTCACATTCTTCAGCCATGGCTAGAACTGAGCTATATTTTGAGCTATATTTGTTATTTATATTTGTTTCGACTAAGTATAAGTCTACTGAAGTAAAATCACGTATCTCATATTATTTTGCTAACTGATACCCTGCATTTTGTGAGTGGAGTGGATGTGAGAGATAACCCATACTTATCGCTCGCCGACTGAACACATAAACCGCCCGAATAATATTTATTGTTTATGAAAAAACAAATATTAAGAGTAAAACGATCATATTTCTCTGTCCTTTTTTCACGATAGCACTTTAATATCTTTTTCACCCCGCGACTAGCCTTAAAACATGAAATGATTTATAAGATAATTTCATTTCGTAGTTTCACAAGAATTATTAACCTCTAAAAAACTTGTAGTTATATTGACCTTGAAGATTATCCGAAGCTAGTTTAAACCATATCATAGCGGTTTAAAGATAATAATAAATATCTTCAAAATTTTAAAGCTCTTGTCTTGTCCCGAAAGCACGTGTGCAACTATTTGTAAGTTTACGTAACGGTTTGTTGGATTCCTCTGGCAAGTACCCCGGACATTTTGGCGGCAAACGATCTGGTTTTTAGCTAATCAACTTCACGTGGAATAACATTACCTTGGTACAAAATGACATTCGATTACAGCTTGAGAAAAGAAACCCTCACGTTTACTCATATGTGTCGAAAGAGTTACGCAATATTGTATTTCATTCTGTTCATTGTAGCAAACGTTACGCTGTCGACTAATATAATAAACCACTGCCTGCGCTCCAAACCGGCTGTATTTTCATTGTAAAATCGCTTTATTCTTTCTTCATCTGAAGCTAAGGCTTTCATTTTGATAAGAAGTGAAGAAAAAGCCATTGACAATTAAGACGATACATTACAACGTGATTTTAACATCCTGGGCCGAGTTGTTCAAAGCTGGGTTAAGATAACCCAGGGTTAGTGCGAGATTTGAATAAAGATTTGAAAGCGTAAAAAGCAATTCAGTTTTAATTCTTTTTGTCCACAAGTTGATGATTGGAAGCTCTAAAAATAAGATAGAAAATTATCCGAGAAAATGCTTTTGAACACAAGAAAAAGAAATCAGGGTTAAATTTAACTCCGGGTTAAGCGCTAACCGGCCTTCTAACAGCTGGGCCCTGACTGTAAAATGTCTAAAATATGTAACATATATTTTATACTGGGCCCGATTACCAGCGTCTATTCGGAAAATGAGCCCGCGCTCCCCCTCTCTTGTCGAGTTTGATCTTTTATCATATTCTCTCAACTTATCATGAAACAAATGTAAAGAGGACAGTCTGGAGAATTTGTATGTGGATATTTGGGTTAAAGAGTTAACGTAAGAGGATCTAAGACAGTATTGGATTCTGGATTCCACGCCATGGATTCCGCATCTGTGGTCGCATTTTCAATACTAGAATGGGGTCGCACACTTTCTGAGAATGTTTGTACTGCAGGTGGAAAGTAACGTGTTCTTCATTCATATATAGACAAGTGACTAAAGTGGGATCGCGAAAATTACATATTTGCCCCAAAGAGTGACTAAGATGGGGTCTATAATTGGCCACCGAATAGACTATAATGGGGTAGGGGCTCTAAGAGGCCAGCGGCACATACCCAGCAAAAATTAACTCAAGTACCCCACCCCCCGGGGGGGGATTTTCGTGCTTAAGGGATGCAAGAATTTTGTCTTTTCAGGAGCTTTTTCCGGTAAAATGGCTGCAATTTCTGGCAGCTTGTTTTTTAAAAATCCAGCCAGACCAGCATGGGCTCCTGGCTAGATATAGAGATAGACCCTAAGAAATTACAATACGTGTTTTTGTCGCTGATTTGACTCTAAAAAGAGGGCCTTCATGGGAGATCCAAGGCACCCTCTTGAGCAGATAAAAATCAATAACAGTCGATAATAATCAAAGGCTTGTCAATGATTGTCCATTATCAGTCGATGTATTGACATAAGTGATTAATATCTTGATTATTATTCACTATTATCGGCCATTGGTTTCACCGTTATGTCGAGCCAAGACCCCTGGTCGTTCCTCTTATGGCACCACTTGCGTTCAACTCCAAGGCACTGACTTTATCACAAGTCTGCTAGATCTTCGGCTTCACGAGTCTTGTTATCAAAACACCAATGATGAAACTGTTAAGTGGCGAAAGAGGCAACATACTTTTTAAAACTTCAATTTCCTTGTTCAGCGACTGAACTCTCTTCCTCTCACGGGCGTTGGCCAGCCTTCGTTGCTTGCTAACTCCTGTTAAACGCGGGCCGCGACGTTTTCTCTTCTTTTTGTCCTTAGCAAAGATTGAGCCTTCACATTCTTCAGCCATGGCTAGAACTGAGCTATATTTTGTTTCGACTAAGTATAAGTCTACTGAAGTAAAATCACGCATCTCATATTATTTTGCTAGCTGATACCATGCATTTTGTGAGTGGGGTGGATGTGAGAGATAAACCATACTTATCGCTCGCCGACTGAACACATAAACCGCCCGAATAATATTTATTGTTTATGAAAAAACAAATCTTAAGAATAAAACGATCATATTTCTCTGTCCTTTATTCACGATAGCACTTTAATATCTTTTTCACCCCTCGACTAGCCTTAAAACATGAAATGATTCATAAGATAATTTCATGGTTAGTTTCACAAGAATGATCAACCTCTAAAAAACTTGTAGTTATTGGCCTTGAAGATTATCCGAAGCTAGTTTAAACCATATCATAGGGGCTTAAAGATAGTAATAAATATCTTCAATATTTTAGAGCTCTTGTCTTGTCCCGAAAGCACGTGTGCAACTATTTGTAAGTTTACGTAACGGTTTGTTAGATTCCTCTGGCAAGTGCCTCGGACATTTTGGCGGCAAACGATCTGAGTATGTTTTTAGCCAATCAACTTCACGTGGAATAACATTACCTTGGTACAAAATGACATTCGATGACAGCTTGAGAAAAGAAACCCTCACGTTTACTCATATGTGTCGAAAGAGTTACGCAATATTGTTTTTCACTCTGTTCATTGTAGCAAACGTTACGCTGTCGACTAATATAATAAACCACTGCCTGTGCTCCAAACCGGCTGTATTTTCATTGTAAAATCGCTTTATTCTTTCTTCATCTGAAGCTAAGGCTTTCATTTTAGTAAGAAGTGAAGAAAAAGCCATTGACAATTAAGACGATACATGACAACGTGATTTTAACATCCTGATTGTAAAATGTCCAAAATATGTAACATATATTTTATACTGGGCCCGATTACCAGCGTCTATTCGGAAAATGAGCCCGCGCTCCCCCTCTCTTGTCGAGTTTGATCTTTTATCATATTCTCTCAACTTATCATGAAAGAAATGTAAAGAGGACAGTCTGGAGAATTTGTATGTGGATATTTGGGTTAAAGAGTTAACGTAAGAGGATCTAAGACAGTATTGGATTCTGGATTCCACGCCATGGATTCCGCATCTGTGGTCGCATTTTCAATACTAGAATGGGGTCGCACACTTTCTGAGAATGTTTGTACTGCAGGTGGAAAGTAACGTGTTCTTCATTCATATATAGACAAGTGACTAAAGTGGGATCGCGAAAATTACATATTTGCCCCAAAGAGTGACTAAGATGGGGTCTATAATTGGCCACCGAATAGACTATAATGGGGTAGGGGCTCTAAGAGGCCAGCGGCACATACCCAGCAAAAATTAACTCAAGTACCCCACCCCCCGGGGGGGGATTTTCGTGCTTAAGGGATGCAAGAATTTTGTCTTTTCAGGAGCTTTTTCCGGTAAAATGGCTGCAATTTCTGGCAGCTTGTTTTTTAAAAATCCAGCCAGACCAGCATGGGCTCCTGGCTAGATATAGAGATAGACCCTAAGAAATTACAATACGTGTTTTTGTCGCTGATTTGACTCTAAAAAGAGGGCCTTCATGGGAGATCCAAGGCACCCTCTTGAGCAGATAAAAATCAATAACAGTCGATAATAATCAAAGGCTTGTCAATGATTGTCCATTATCAGTCGATGTATTGACATAAGTGATTAATATCTTGATTATTATTCACTATTATCGGCCATTGGTTTCACCGTTATGTCGAGCCAAGACCCCTGGTCGTTCCTCTTATGGCACCACTTGCGTTCAACTCCAAGGCACTGACTTTATCACAAGTCTGCTAGATCTTCGGCTTCACGAGTCTTGTTATCAAAACACCAATGATGAAACTGTTAAGTAGTTGCTTAACTTTTACTGAATAGCGGGTTAATTTGTCAGGCACCCCGCTAAGATCGAAAGTATCTGAACAGTTAATATTTTATGAATAATAAGCGATCCACTCTCAAAGAAAGTTCTCAAGATGGACCATTCTCCGACAGAGAATGAAAGTCGACTGAAGGTAGCAATGTCAAGAAGGAACAACCCTGACACAGTCTTTCTCAGGCGGAATATTTATATGCTGCTAATCAACCATGCTGCCACGTGTAGAAATATGTATACACTACTATAAATAACGTATACAAGCGAGCGAAGGCAAAGCCTGTTTGTATGATAAAAGCGTAAACAAAATTGAAGGAATTCACAACAATATTGTGGCTTTTTGTTTGGCATATTTGGACACGAGCTTCAGTAGAGACTAGTAGAGAGATCTGCTTCATCAACGCGTGACGCGTCAGTGAGTGCCACAAACAAACTTGGAGAATAAGAAGGAACTAGCACAAACTTTGCAAATTTAAAACAGCTATAATGTCGTCATCAAGTGAAGAGCAACTTACAGAAGATTCATCTCAAGGTGATACCGAGAATCAAAGCCAGAAGCGTCGGAAGGTTTTAAAACGACTGAAGCGGCGTGGACCTCGATTAACTGGAGTGAGCAAGCAACGGAAAAAGGCTAACGCGCGGGAAAGAAATCGCGTTAGCATCCTGAACAACTATATTCAACTTCTACGGACTCTTATTCCTGAACCAGAGAAGAGAACAACAAAGTTTGATGTGATTATTGGAGCTGCTGCGTACATCTCACAGCTTACGGAGATTCTGCAAGGGGATAATGATACCGACGTCAGGGATCCTGAAGACTTTGTTGAAATGGAGACGGAGCTGAATTAAAACGTTCCATGGTCTCAGCCAGAAGAACTCATATATCAAACGTTTAGAGGACTTTTTAGTCAATCTTAGTTAATTTAATTCATTTAGTTCTAATACGGCTAATAATAGCTCATTAATGAGAAGTCCTTCCGGAGAAGAATATGACTTCGACGTCGCGAATGAGAGAAAGAGGTCGACACTTTCATGGTATCCATGTAAAATATTCTGAAACTCCTTATTCGAGGTTATCAAGGAATTGAAAGTTCCATTTTCAACAAAAGGAATTCATTTGTAACACCAAATGATTAGCTTAAAAGGGAAAAAAAAGGAAGACGGTCTATTTCTTTTTCACGCCGACTCACAGTGGAAAAGTTGTTAAGCTGAGCGTTTGAAATAAAAATTATCAAAATGCATAAGTATAAGTGAATGTTAATGCTAATAAATGATGATACGGTGAAATGGTTTGCTGTCATTTATTCAAATTTGCTGTGGCTGGTTTAACTTTAAAGAAGTAACAGCGCCCCACAGTTTCCGAAAGCACTTGAAAAGATCTTAGTCAAAAAACGTCTTAACTCGTTACCAGGCCCTTAAAATCAACCCACTGAATTGGCCCAAACAACAAAATTTTATTTAGAGTTGCATGATTTTAAACGAAAAGAAATTTATGAGTTATAAACCCGTTTTCGAATGGCTGCACACAAGAATTTTCTACAGTTGTTTGAGGTAAGTATAGTAAAAGGACTCAGGCTGTGAAATTGCAAAAAATTTGTAAACATTAAAGAACCGGTTAGCGGTTAAGCTTACCCTTGGGCTAAAGTTATTTATATCTCACAACGTTAGTAATTGTTATGATCGAGAACGGATAATTATCTTCGCTATGAAACTGGCTATCCTAAGCTGATTAAAGCTTTTTTGGTTCAACTTTGATGCAGTTAATTCTATTGAGTTCCAACTTTTTATCGTGGTGACGAAAAATAACGGCGTGACCATTCAAATGGAACGTCTTTGCCAGAACTTTTACATAGTTGTATTTATTTGTCGGTATTTTACAATAGAAATCATAAATCATTTTTCTCGTCTTCATACTTGGGCCTCTTCTTGGAGCGAAAAGGTTAATCAAAGGGAAGAGGCTCACTGCATCTTTGCTCAATCTCGCAAATCAGTTTGACACCCATTTTAAAATGTATCACTTCGGCCTCTTTCAAAACCACTCGAACGGAAAAGACCCTTAAAGATAAAACTGCAAGAGTATTATGACCGATACTTAAATAATTAGTTTTTAATTTGCTAAACCTAAACCTCTAAGATCGAGTGAAACCTTTTTTAATAGCATTGCCGAAGTTTGTTAGCGGCGGAGGGATAGGTGACGCTGGCGACGGAGATCGAGTAAGTGGTGCACTTCAAGAATTTGTTTTGAAAGAGTTTTAAATTCTTTACCCCCTGGTTAACTTTCAAATACGTTTCCCGCTGAGAAAGTCAAGGAGACCAAAGTAATTTCGACAAGTTCTTTCTATTATTTATTCAAGGACTGATAGATAACAACATCAGAAAAAAACAGAGTTATAAAAGTCTGCCGGCTTTACAGGCCACGAATTTGCACCGTTGACCGTCAGATAACAATCGGTAAGATCTTTGTTTATAGTTTATCTTGAATGCATTATGTATACTAACCACTAGCTGAACTGCACGTTTAGAGACTTGTTAAAGTTACTCCATTTTTCCAATCGATTATCCTGTGCCGCCACTGTTATGCAATTACTAGAATGCATACCGATTTCAACTAACAAACACAGATTTCTTAACTTCTTTGCCAAATTTCCAAGTACTATATAAAAAAAATGATAGAAAATTTCTTGGACAGAATTTAACGGGAAGCGCATATATAAAAGTCGAGTTTTGTCAGTATCTTTGACGAAGAAATTTAACCCAAAATTAAATTTCAGACTGACATATTTGACAAAAAATGACGTTGCATTTTGTTACCATGTTTACTTTTAATGGCTCAAAGGGGTACACCTCCTAAACAGAGGAACGTAACAGAAATTAGTAACATATTACAGGCCTAAGGCCTTATTTTAAAGTTAGGCTGGCGATATAGTTTTAGTTACTATCCAAGTACACGTCAGAGATCGCTTTGTCAAACAAAGAATTTGGTTTTCATATGACTACGGTTACTAACGTTATTGTTTAAAACAGTTGTTGATTGTGGCAGGTCGAGACTAATCCGTTGGCCCCCCGAAGTACGTGATATTTGGCTTATTTAAAGTGGATTGCTCTCTCCTACCTTTAAGTTCCTAAGTAATTAAGGTACCTTTAGGTGCAGTAATTTTTAAAACGACAAACCGAGCTGCATCGATAATAGATCGGAGCTCAAAAGCCAACCGACGAAATACTCCGACGTGTCGACGGCACAGGCCACGAGAGACTCTGGTTTGGCATATTTTACGACTTCTACCAGAAAATCTTGTTTTCATCCAGAGACATCGACAATTAAATTAGGACACATCTTCAAAGCTAGGGTAAGGCCCTTAGTTATGCATTGTATGTCCAACTTTCAAACAAAATTGATGAAGACCTGCCGTGTGAAAATGCTACCGTCCCGTGGTTCTGTTTGTTTTACAATAAATTGCCAACAAAAACATGTGAATAAATTTGTCCATTTTAGAACTACCTACTCGTGGGAACTATTATTGCTTTATAAGTAAGAAATGATTAGTATATCCTATTATTATTCCTTATTGAATAATTAAAATTCATGATTTGATATAACACGAGAAATTCCCATGAAAGATCACATGATTTCTCTTTTTTAACACCAAAGATTTTGTGCAAACGGTCCCTGAATCTTCCAAAAACAACCATAGAATTTAACATAGAAACGAATGTCGTATATCATCTCGCTCAGATCTCTCACCGATGTCAACCATTTAACAACGCGGTACCATTGTGTTTTGTCGGAAAGAGTCATTGTATGATACCAAATTAAAGCGGCAATGCAGGGAACGCTAGACGTCATGGGAAGGATCCTTCCCACAACGCCATGTTCACCGGCCACACAAAAGCCCATGACTGACGTCAGAACGACTCAAATGAGACCACAGAGACTAATAACATTGAGTAGCCCTGGTCGCCATGGAAATGATAACTGGATTACCTTAATTCGATGTCTGCGGTTTTGATCTCGGCGTTTAAAATGTATTGTTGACGTTTTACTATTACAACCTAAAGCCGTAACCTTTAAAGTCTTTCGGATGGAATCATTAAGTATAGACACTTGATGAAAATTGTCTGATAATGGTATGAAGCCTCAAAGTGTTAGTTAGAGCTGATGTGCCGTGCTCTCCTGTATTACTCTTCGTTTTTGACATAGAAGGTACCAATCGTACAAAACGTTTCTTGGTAAAATTTGATTTATTAGATTGCAAAGGCGGTTCCGATTTTTTATACCGCTTTCGCTAAAAAAAAAAAAAAAGAATGGCCAATATCTCGTTGTCTCGTTTATGGTTTGGCTATCGAGCCGACTAACGGAAAACTTGGACATTTGAATCTTGTTCGATATCAATGACATGTTCCATCTTTTACCGATGCAGGCGTTCAAAAATGGTTAATTCTACCCTGGGGGGTATGGAGGTCATGTCCACCTGTGTTCCTGTGTGCAAGCTAGAGACTCCAAAAGTCCCGAACCCACTGGTGCAAGGAAGAAAAAGACATCGAAGGCGGGGACCGAGGTTAACAGGCGTCAGCAAGCAAAGGAAATCAGCAAACGCGCGAGAGCGAAATCGCGTGCGTGTTATTAACAACGCCCTGGAAAAATTACGAGACCTAATTCCGCTGCTGCCCACTGAAAAACGACCTTCTAAGATAGAGACAGTTAGGCTTGCTGCCCTGTATATCCATCACTTGACGGAACTTTTGACAGGAGTGGAAAGTGCTAAAACCGCCATGGAACAAGGGAAGAAGCAGAGAAGCCAGAGAAGCGCAGTCATAGTAAAGCAGGAAAAGTTTTAACGAAGAAAATTATTTTTAAGATAAAAATTTCTAACCAACTGAACTCATTGTAGACTTACGCTTGAATAATCTGTTCACGTTTCCCTATTTTTTCGTAAGATCGTCGAGATCAAGCGGGCGGCCATCTTGGTTTCAAATGTACCGCGGGGGCCCCAAGGTCTTGAGCGCGTCAGGGGAAAAGTCAGAAATACCCGGGTCCTCGAATCGGAGTGGCAGCCTGTCAAAGATACGAAAGGCGTATCTTTTGCTGTTAGCAATGTATTTTCCCTCCTTTTTCTTTTGTAATACTGACTTAAGGAGTATCTGCAATTCAGCAAATACCTGAACCCCCAAAATAATGTGAGAGGAAATGGCCAGCCTCTTTTTTATAATGGAGTTATTCTGAGTTGAAAAATTTCGAATGCCAACCAATGGTAACTTTTTCATGTTTGTTGTACAAACTGGAAGGGGGGTATATGACTGTATATCTTTCATATTGAAAGTGACATATCCTTAGGTAACGTAATTCTCTCCTCACAGGAATCAGGGGATAAAACCCCATACGGTACATATGTAACTCGGTGCTTTATCGAATTAAACAAGTGACGAAGTACTTATGGTACTCCTCAAAAGTAATGATTTTCTTAAACAAAAAAAGTGGTTAAAGAAACGAAACTTTTTAAAACATACTTAGAACAATAGTCTTCTTGAATGGAGTTCTGCGCCTCTAATGTTTCCGCCTGTGACGTGAAACGTAGTCATCATTTTGATAGTGGTGGACTCTGTTTCTTTGTTTAGTTCCACAGTATTTCATCATAAATGACTAAACTGCCGTGTATTAATAAAGACTGGAAGAAAAAAGAGCCAACTGCCGCTTGGATGCTGCTTAAGAATTGCCTGTATCAACCTCTTTTGGTGTATATTTACAGGTATTTGCGTAAAGGCATTATGAGAAAAGGAACAAACCACATACAGTCTAACGTCCCCTAAGCGACCCCCTTGAATATCAAGATTTGTCAGTCGCTTACCAGAGGGTTTTGACACGAAAAAAAAGACAGTTAAGTTTTTTGTTATTTCTAAAGGAGAGTTACTTTCAAATGGAGGTTACGATATAGTTAGTAAAAACTATCGTCGAGATATGGGTCCTGTGCTTTGTGTTTTATCAAAACGAAGCTTTCATTTGAATGGTAACATCATAGGATTTCATCCACAGACTCAAAAGTTAGAACTACATGCTAAACATATAGCACCATTTGAAAGTACTGCTAAAGAGGTTTCATTTGAATGTTAAAATCATAGGATTTTCGCCCCTAGATTTAAAAGTTAGAGTGAACAATGATCTCACCATAACAGGCAATAAGAAAAGGGTTAAGTAAATTTCATATAGATCTCACACCTGGATATCTCCCGACAACAGATGTCGTCTCAGTATTCTATGACCTTCTCCCTTAGTAAACTAAGGCAGTGGACATCAGGTCGTCTGAAGACTCGTCTGATAAACAACGTTATGACCCCGTCCTTTAAATATGTAGTGGCCAATTAAGATTTCAGTACGTCGATTTTTTAAAGTTTGTTAGTTTTGGGGTAATGCCATACGCTTTAATACGCCAGGTTACCGTCTGAATTGTTTTGCCGACCAGCCAAGATTGATGCCCTTGGTCTTTTGGGTTTGCAGGGGAAATTACGTGCGAAATAAAATGCAGTTTTTGTTTATGCTGGGATCTGTTTGTACAAATGCAGAACTCAGTACGGTTCTAATTCCCAGTGCCGTCAAAACCGTGAAAAAAACCGCCACACATTTGTTCCAAACACGACATTCCGCAGAAAGAACAACAGAAAATATTCTGCTTATGTTCATCACGATCATCTTGCTTCGTCTAAAGAATCAAAACTTTGACTGCAGCAAGTCCCGCGAAGATGTCTTTCATTGGAATGGTCACACTTTACTGAGAATTTCATACACAGGTTCGAAAGCTACAACCCCTTCGTAGGATAAGAAACAATCACTACTGTTATGGTACTGTTCAGTAGCTTTGATTTGAATAAATTCTTCGGGTCAGTTCATTCATAAACACAAAAGTTTCGACTTCCAGTAGTTTCTAACATTAGAAAGTACTACAGGAGAGTTCTATACTACTAAAAAACTTTCATTTAAATCAGTCATTCGCCCTTTGTAAGGAATTCAAAACAGTCTTGGATTCTGGATTCCACACCGTGGATTGCAGAGTCCCATGAAGGTACTGGATTCCGGATCTCTGTTAGTGGAACTTGGATTCTCGATTCCAATCTTTAGAAGGATTGCGGATTCCTTGAGCTGCTATTCCGGATTCCAGATTCCACAAACAAAAATTTCTTGGATTCCGGAATCCGGAATTCCTTACATGGGGAGAAATGTTGGATCAATTTAGGTTTCTGAGAAACTGCCCACCTACCCCTCCCCTAAGCCAACGATATCACTTACTTCTCACTCAGGGCAAAATGTTTGCTTAGGGTAGGGGTAGGTGGGCAGTTTCTCAGAACCTTAATTGATCGTATCTTGTTGTTCCCCTTTGAAATGAATTATCCAAAGGATAAACCATAATTCAAAGGATCAGGGCTGGATCGCCTCCGAGGATGGTGAACTTTAGCCTAAAAATGCAAAGATATTTACGTTCAATTGTCTCGTTTAGAACATACAAATGGAGATGATAAAATGCTAATAACTTCTACTCAGAGACCAAATTCTATTCACCCTAGTTGAAAGTCCGGAACAGTATGTATAAAAGATAGGAAACGTTTAAAAATTAAAAACTCGTGTTAGAGGTCATGTTAGCGCAAACCGACTTCCCAGCAAGTGTAGGAATCAGGAAAATACTGAGCAAAATCAATTTTGTTGATTGGCCCGGGACTGTAACAGATGGAATTGTCTTTTATTTTAGTCACAACCTTGTTGTTTGTGTAAGGCCTCCTGAGATTCCCTTCCCATTGTTATCTTTGACCAGAGAATCATTTTGAATTGTCCCGGCAAAGAGGGTCAAATAATGCGATAAGAAAGCGTATCAACCTAAAAGAGCTACATCCATCGGCAAATGTTAGAATTGGGATAACAGGTGTTTAACCCTTTAAGCCCCAAGAGTGATCAGCATCAAATTTCTCCTTGTAATATCAATGCTTTGCAAAACAGAGGGTCATGAGAATTGCGGACATGATCACACAAGATGAATTTGCTTGATATTTTATCAACTTCTCCCCACTACTTCCGTAGGAAATGAATGGTGACAACAAATGAGAATCCAAATTTTGATCTTGGGTTTTAACTGGAGAGGAGGAAGAGAAAAGAGACTTTCTTCGGAGTCATCATAATTATACGATCACACCACACACGTTATAGAAGTCGTTATACAATGCAAGCAGTGAGTCTTAAGACTAACAAAGGGGTTTATATTTAATTTACTTTGAAACACAACTTTCATGCGTCAACATAATTTAAGGGCTGTTTTCCAATTCAGTAAGTTACAAAAAGAGAAAATACGTAGGTGACCAGAAGGCTGGATGTCTCATCATGTTACTCATAATTGATGACCCTAGCTTGTAAATTTAACCCTTTCCGACTCCTAACAGTTGCCAATGTAAAAAATTACAAAAAAAAATCAAATATTTTTTCGTTTAATCCCACGAAATAGTTAGTGTATAAAAGTTCTGCCAAAGAAGTTTTATTTGAATCCGGGGGGTGTACTCCCTTATATAAGCCATATAGGTATGTGCCGCCCCAAAGGGTAGGGTTTTAGCGCCGTTTTATTTGGTCTGAAAACGGGTATAGATTTTGCCCATCTTGGTCTGGAATCGGGTGTGGTCTACGAAGGAACTACGGTTATGTACCAATGTGTTCGTCGTTTCAAGTCCAAATCCATAAGAAAGAAAGTGTAATATGAGAATTCGAAATGGATTTTAAGAACTCTTTTTGTTGCGGTTTTAATCTCAGCAATGATGACATTAGTTCTGTTTTATGTTGTTGCGTTTTGTGACCACCCCCAGGTCTGAAAACGGATGTGGAAAATGACATTTTTTGGTCTGAAATAGGGTCAGGATTTGGAGAACTGGGCGGCACACCCCCACCAAGAATTCCAGGAGTACACCCCCCTCCCCCGCCCCCGAGCATTTGAATAGCAGCATCAATGAATTTCGTCCAACGTATATTGGAAAAGTTAGAGTGAAAATCATAAAGCCATACTGTCTTAAAAGAAAAGAGTTTAACTTTAGTTAGAGATAGCTTACAGAAAGTAAAAAAGCTCTTCAAATGCATCACTTGCAGTCACGAACATGCTCTGAGACTGGCGTCAGTACACGCCTGGTAGGTCTTTCGTGCTATTCGCATCATATCTCAAGGGCGGCGTTAATCGAGTCATTACTGCAATGAAAAGACTTGTCAACAAGAGAATATTTAATTCTCAATGAAGCCGACACATTAGTAGATGTTCGAGAATTTTTTCCTCAACTATAAATAGTGTTGTCTAGTGATTCACACTATCCTGCACAAGAACTGACTTCAAAGAAATCTACTCATCCAAGTTCTGGAAAAAAATGCCAAGACCCCCCAAACTGAGTTGAAGCATTTTTAGCAGTACCATATTTGAGGGAGGCACAGGAAGTAAAATGTAGAACTAACACTGAGATCAAAATGGGCGTGTTTCATTTCTTATCGCTAAAATGTTCAACTTCTTACCTTTGTAGGTAAATCCCCTCCCTTATATTAACTTTTTATCAGAAAGGACAACCTTGTACATTTTTCAAGATAACAAGTTCTATTTCACGCATTCTTTGAAACAAAGTACTATTCTTTGCATCGACATTTTCTACCTCAAGACAAGTGTTTTTTGTTAATGTAATGCCTGGTTTTCATGTGATTGCTTTGACTGTTGAAAAAAGTCATAGTATGACACGATCGTAGA